CAGACACTCTCGTAAGCGATGGGAACGCTTTGTCCACAGTGAAAACCAACACCTTGTCAGCCCAGAAGCCTTGGATTTCCTGGATAAGCTGCTGCGATATGATCACCAGTCACGGCTCACTGCAAGAGAAGCCATGGAGCATCCTTATTTCTGTGAGTTCTACCGCCCAGTCTCCAGAGCCTAGGCAAGTCCTCCCACCATTCCTCTGCAGACTCTATGAGGTGTGGGAGAACATGATGTGAAGAAAGCTCCAGCCTGGAGTCCTGTAGAATAGAGTTGCAGTGCCATTCCTGTTAGCTCACTGCAAAGTTGCTTCATCTCTACTGAGTCATTTGCTTCACATTCTTCTAATTGCTTAGGAAAAGTATATTTTGTACTAGTAGTATAATTCATGTTGAAGATAGTTACCATCTTAACTTCTAGGAATACTAATGGAGTAGAAATAAAATTAGAAGATTGGTGGTAGCTACTCTGATAACACCCAAACCAATTAGTTTAATCCTGTAAACAAAACAGTACCTAACTTCTCTCTTTCCTAGATACTGTTGTGAAGGACCAGGCTCGAATGGGTTCATCTAGCATGCCAGGGGGCAGTACACCTGTCAGCAGCGCCAACATGATGTCAGGTTAGTTCATTGGTAAATTCCTTTTTCAAAATAAAAGAGTTGAAGTCAGTTACTATTCTTCATTTTGTCCCTTCTTTGTGGCCTGATTTCCTATGTGGTTCTTTGTTGGGTGTCCTTAGCAATATACTGGCCTGTGTAGCTTTTCCTACCAGACTTCAAGTTGCTTTTGGTATATTTTAGTAACACTTTTAAGTAGAATATTATTAGTCTCTTTCAGATCAGAATCATAGCATCTCAACAAAAAGTTTTCTTGCAGAGATAGATACTTGAAGTCCCAAGAAACTGAAATATTAAAAGAAATTCTTTCATCTCACAGTTGAGAATGACAGCAGTTGAGTAACCCTCAGAAGCAAAATTAAGGAACTACGTGTAGACAGCATCCTGGATACACTTGTGGTCATGAGGGCATTTACTCAGACATTCTTTATTACTGCCATGATCTCACTTTTAAGAACTAGCTGCCTTTTAGAATTTATCCTCTTTAAGTATCCGACCTGTGTGCAAAATGACATAGCCAAGGTTATTTACAAGGTAATTTATAATAGCGCAGTATTGAAAACAGCTGTCAGTAGACAACTGGCTAAATTGACCACCCATTCAGTAGAATATGATGTGATCAGAGATAAGATGGGTAAGTATTCAGTGTTGTTAAAACTCTGGCTCTAAAATATTAATATAAATGGGGACGGGATGAAAAACCATGTGCAAAAGTAGGGTTATTTAAATATAATCCTATTCTTATATATGATATTTATATTAATATATTAAAATTAACGTGCTCATATATGCAAAAAATACATCTTGAAGAATATATTTCAAAAATGTTCCCCTAGGTTGACCAATCAAGAAAGATTCTTTAGGGCCAGCCAAATAGCTCAGTGGATTAAAGTGCCTGCAAGCAGGCACAGGGGCTAGGGGTTCAATCCCTGGGCCTGCCATGCCAGCCCTGCCCCCAGGGTGGGCTGAGATGGCGATTGAGACTGGGTGCAGCACACACCTGTAATCCCAGCTCTTGGGAGGTGTAAACAGGCAGATCACTACGAGTCCAATCTAGTAGTGAGACCCTGAACATCCTGTAGACCCTTCCCTAAAATTAAAAAAAAAAAAAAAAGATTCTTTGAACCTTTTGTTTTGTTTTGTTTTGTTTTGTTTTGTTTTGTTTTTTGATGGAACCAGGAATTAAACTCATGCCCCTGTGCTTGCTAGGCAAGCGCTTATTCCACTGAGCCATCTCCCTGGGCCCAAACCTTTTGTATTTTAAACCACATGAATATGTACTAGATTTCCTCTTTGATAGTTTTAGTTACTCCCAGTGCAAAAATACTTGTCTTGGCTCAAGAGGGGTTACATTCACATTTTTATTACAATATACTATTCTTTAAAAAAGTTTTTTTTATCTGTCTGTCTGTCTGGTAGAGGGTCTTGTTATGCAGCACAGACTCTTAGTGATCCTCCTGTCTTAGCCTCCCCAGCACAGAGATTTCAGTCATATGGAACCATGCCTGGTTTCGGTGCCTGGCACAGTGCACCCAGGGTTCCAGGATCAGCCCAGCATATGGTACCATGGATCAAACCCAGGTCCTTGAACTTGTCAGGCAGGCACTTAGACTGCCAAGCTGTCTCCCCAGCCCCACAATACACTGTTTTCCTTTTGTATTATTGATCTCTTACTGTATCTCCTTTGTACATTAAGAATGACCATACATATGTATATATAAGGAAAATATGTTATATGTAGTGTTTGGTATATCTGCAGTTTCAGGCATCCTAAAACACATGCCCTGGATATATGAATTATTGGGATTTTCTTTTTTTGTGGAGATGGGTTTGGGAGAAGTTGATAAGGTCTCACTAAATTGTAGAGTTATACAGCCTGGGCTCAAATTTGCAATCCTCCTGATTCAACCTTCCAGAGTGCTGGGTTTACAGTTTATACACTACTATACCCAACTCTCTGTAGCATTCTGAAAATAAATTGCTGGGTGAGGGCAAGCTAACAAGTAATTCTAGTCACTAAAGAAGTGGAAGAGATCATTAGAAATAAATTTCAAAGTACCATTTCCAACTAGAAGGTAAAAAGTACATCTTTCACACTTAGAATGTCTTTTGGTAATTTGGGGAGTATGTTGCCTAAGGTATAAAATCATGTGGGCTTTGACCACAGTCCTTTGCTTTTCAGTGTGGTAATGACTATGTAATTAATTAAAATAGAAGCAAATATAAAAATTTAACCAGTATGCAATGTATTAATTGTTGAAACCATCCTACTAATCGGTTTTGAAACTCATTGCCATTTGTTTCTCAATAAAATTAAAAAATAAATAAATAAAATAAAAATTTAGTTCCTTGGTTGTCCTAGCCATATTATACAAGTGCTCAGTAGTTATGTGTGGCTGGCTGATGGTGAATGTTAGAAAACACAGATTACAAAGGCAGGAAGTTTGTTGCACTGTGCTGCCCTAGACAGGCCTATGAGAGAATCCAAATGTCTCCTGTTACTGGCTCTACCCTAAACTGCTGCAACTTAAATTCAGTAGATCTTACCATTTTAACTTGAATTTACAATAATTATACTTGAAATTTATGTGTTAAACATGTTGCTAAGAAGAAACCTAAGAGCCCGGGGAGATAGCTCAATAGAATAAGTGCAAGGGCCTGAGTTCAATCCGCCATTCCACCAAAAAAAAAATGAAGCCTGAATAAAGAATGAATTTTCATTGTTATTTTTGAGATAAGGCCTATGGAAAAGTGGTGGCTAAAATTGCCATGGCTGGTGTTTCTGGCTCACTGTCGGCTGTTTTCTTTCAGGGATTTCTTCAGTGCCAACCCCCTCACCCCTCGGACCTCTGGCAGGCTCACCAGTGATTGCTGCTGCCAACCCCCTTGGGATGCCTGTTCCAGCTGCCGCTGGTGCTCAGCAGTAATGGTCCATCTTTCTCCTGATGCCTGAGCAGAGGTGGGGAAGTCCACCCTCTCTTTGATGCAGCTTGCACCTGGCGGGGAGGGTGAAACACTTCAGAAGCACCATGTCTGAACTGCTGCTTGTGGATTTATAATAGTTCAGTCATAAAAAAAAATTATAATAGGCTGATTTTTTTTTCTTTCTTTTTTCTTTCTTTTTTTTTTTTTTTTTTTAATCAAACTTTTCATAACTCAGGGGATTCCCTGAAAGTTTACCTGCAGGTGGAATATTTCATGGACAACTTTTTTTCTTCTCTTCCAAATTCAGTTCCTCATCACTAAAGAACAAAATGATAAACCAGTGTCAATCCTGGCTGCTACATTTGGGTGGAAATTTCTTCCCATTTCTACCATTGCTACCCCACCATCCTATACTCTGGGTGGGGGTTGTATTTTGTGCTCTTCTCCAGAGATTATAAAAATGTAGCTTCTCAAGGAAGGAGGTAGGATGGAAAAGAGGCAAGGAAGACTCAATCTATAAGAGCAGTGTACTGCTAGTCATTTGTTCCATAAGTGATTCAGGGCAGTTACCTTGGCAACTCTAGTGGAAGTGTATCTTAGTTCTGTGGAGATGTTGAAAATCTACCCAAAGGGCAGACAGATTCTGAAAACATTTGTTCAGTGTGAATCATGTTTTATTGAACTAACCCTAAATTGAGCTAATTTATAATGTTGGTATCAGTTTAGTCTAAAATTGTGATAGTACCCTCCAAGGCTCCTACTTTGTCTTTTCCCCTTTTATATCTCAACATGTTGTGCTCCATAGCTGGTAGGAGAGGGAAGACAAAATCTTTTTCAGTTTTCTTTGACTTGAACA